GTACTAAAATAACCCAAAGTAAAATCCTTGGATTTTGTAACACTTTTGTCATTTTAAAGAATTTATTTTAATAGGAGAACATAATTAGGACGTAGAAAGACCTATAAGTCATTTTAGTCTTGTGGTTCTATTTAATTCTGGTCTTGTTACATTCTGGGTCAGTGAATCCTCTCACATCAAAAACACACAGAGCCACATAAATTMCATTTACTTCAGCACCTGTAGCATATTATTTTTCATGTATGCATAGAAACGGAGGCAGAACAGACTTATTCCTACCAGTGATTTTTGCTTTTTTACATCGGCTCTAGAGGAAATGAGTTTGAACCTTTCTTGCGAATGACTGTGCATTTGGGGCCTTTGCCCTTTGTGGAGCATTTTGCTGCCAACTTGTCATCTGAAAGAGCTTCATGAATAAAATTTAACTATGTTTTATATGCAGGAACCGCCGCAGGCAGCAAATGGGCGGCTACAAAGCAGATTGTCCTTCTATGTTAGATAGAGAAGGCTTTTTTATCGGAGCTGACAGGCTGATTTTGGGGGGCTCGTTGTATCTCAGCTTATTCCCACTCCTGAATTTGTCCGCACTTAAAAAGGGCCTCGGCTAATTTTAGAGCACGTACACRACCAGTAGACCCATTATGTGATTAGTCCGCATTCAGGTTCTTTTATCTTCCTTTTAAGATGTGACAATTTGTTTAACATCTACAKGTAATAACTTCACTTTTATATACAATCAAGAAACGTCATCAGACGTTCCCAAAAGTGTTAAAAAAAAATATCCACATTTACACTCAGGTGCAGACATGTATCACAAATAAAAAAGCCTTTTAGAACAAGTTGAAATCACAGGAGGTAAGACTACATGAGGATGTCTTGGCAGAGGAAAATGAAACCTTAATTGGAAGTTTGATGAATGGTGACATTGGTGTAGGCCATAAAAGGGACAGCTATACGAAAGACTGAAATCCAGYGTCTGATTTCTGTGACCTCGATTGGATGGCTTTATGATGAAGGCAAACATTAAATATGTTCTGAGAGGCATGGAAGTAATTGAAATTCTCTGGGTGATGAAGAAGGGATAGAAATGTAGATTTGCAAAAAGGGCATCGGTCTGCCTTTTACAGTGGCTCTGAAATGTGAGGACACAGTGTGAAACCAAGTTAAACACATCCAAGTGAGATACTGGCTTGGAAAATGTCAAAGTAGCTTCTTCTGGGTTTTTTTAATTATTTTTTTCCACACAGTCTACTGAGTAGTGTCTCCATTGTACTGACACATGATTCATGGTTAATTATGGTGTCAGGAGTTTCCATTTAAACCATAATTCTCCTCAAACTGTCGTCATCAGGACTGAAAACATACAGCTAAACAGCAGGAATGGCACAGGAAGTAGTTTTTATTAAACAAAGCTGGTTCACTGGTTTATTTTTAGAGACTTTTTAAAACCATACTTCACTTTTATTATGGCATAAATACACAAATGCCTGTAGAAACAAACTTGATCTCTCTATTTTACAATTCTCTCCTCTTGTGTGTTAAGATTTAAAACTGGATTGTGCACAACCGGTGCTTTGATTTCAGTTTTGGTTCTAGATGCTGCTCATGAGGCAGAGAATAGTTAGTAAAAATTAACACTAACTTATTTACTAACCAAGCCTGTAATGTGGGGTATAAGATACTGATTTTAAAGTTTTATTGTTAACCTATAAGGTCTTGAATTAAGAGGCTCGTGTAGACCTGTCTGACCTTCTGCAGGCTTATGTGTCCTCATGATCTCTTAGGTCTAATGATCATTTGTTTTTAAGCTACATTCACACTGCAGGCACATGCAACCCAAATTTGATGTATTTTGCCTCGATGCAACCCATTTTAAGATTTTTTTTTCATGACAGTCCAAATGTGAAAATCTGTCAACTCCAACCAAAGTTTTTTCAGTATGTGGTACTGAATCAGATACACGTCTGATGTTCTTCAAAGCGGCCTCAGTCTAAATACTCATGYTGAATTTTATCCGACTTTTACTTTAGTACGGTGGAGGTAGGCAGATCGATCCAAGTATTATGAATATTGATAGAAACCCTGTGCAGTTTAAACCTTGTAGCTCCACACATYTTCAGCYACACAACAGAAAGTCTAATTCCTTTGTCTTCTTTCTTTTAATTTTCCATGTCCTGGATGTCCGAGAATCCACAGAAATGTATGATAGTAACATCGGCCTCGGACCATATTGAKCCTAAAGTTACTGGATCAATACTTTAGYTAGTTTTACTTTCAGCACGTCGCTCCCATTCCATAAATATATGCTGTGCCSGAGCAGCTGGCAAGAAGCAGTTTCAAATGTAAAGAGAATTAAACAAACATGYCAGATAATTACTTAATCTGGTCAGATTCCACAACTTCAGWRTCAAAATGCTAACATGTAACATCTATGTTTAGCTACTTCTGGAAAYACAAGCTGTATGCAACATTATGCCATCTTCTGTACATGCACTTTCATACCATGGAGAGTTCATAGTGGAGTCTGACAGAAGTCACATTTAAAATWTGCTGTGAACTGAATACGCAAAAAAATCTGATTTGAGAAACAAATCGGACTTGAGCATTAAGACCTGCAGTGAACGTAGCCTTAGCTGTGCTAAGGTCCAGGCTGGTCCAGAGGTGATCAGGTCTTTTCAGTTGTAGCTCTTTYAACTGTGGAACCAGCTGCCCATTTATACTAATATGAGACAGGCTTTAACATTTAATGTTTTTAAGTCTCATCCAAAAACTCATTTGTACTGACTGGCCTTTAATACAACACAAGAGATTACTTTTTTTGCTCCTTTTCATTGGTTTTATTTTGTGCCTTGTCATGTCTTTAGTTGTTATTTCTGAACTATTGTTGTAAAACTAATATGTTGTGAGCAGCACCTTGGCCAGCAGCAGTTGGATTGGTTTATTTTTGTACGCAGGTTTAACACAAGTCAACAATGCAATGGAATTTTGAGTTTGAGGAAAAATCATTCAACTCACTATAAAAATTAAAACAAGTACTATTAGCATGCAATAGAAGGACGAAAATATATTTATATAATACTGCAGTGTGCTATATAAATAAATTAGATTTGATTTGAAAATAAAATTTTAATCCAGAGTTGTCTTATTTTTAATCTTGATTTCAAAAACACAGTTTTGTGAGGAAATGAGTTGTGGTGGCCATGCTGATATAAATTTGAACATTGTTCTGGCAGTACTGCCTGCACTCCATCCACTTCTGCCCCACTGATCCCTTCTCAGTTGCCCTACATTGGTATATTTATTTTCAACCAGCGGTGGAAGAATGGTTTTAAAAACACTCCTCAGACCAAAACGTAGGTGTGATGAATAATCTGTAATATTTGGCGAAAGTACGGTGTAGAAGCTCCCTTTTCTGAGACTGAATTAAAATCTGATCTARTAAGACGAGCTGAAACACAACGACTGCTCCTGCACTGCCACTGGTTCCTCAATAATGCACCACATTCTGAAGCCTCACAAAATGTAGGACAAAACTGGTGAACGAGAAAGAAACCAACTGATTAGATTAAAGCGTGAGGAAAACATCTGAACATCCTAGAAGCTGCCCGTCAGTGTTAGGACCGTTTAATACCTCAGCCATGTTAATGAGGCCCAAGGCCAAGGTCTTGTAGCCCAGGATGGTCCGGTTCTTGTACCGCTTCCGCCKCTGCAGCATGATCTGAAGCTTGTTGGCGTCCCTCTTTAAGAAGTGTGGGTACTGCAGGTAACAGAGACACACATACACAGGTGAGGGATTGAATTGCTCGATGAGTTCAGACTGATAAAGCCATTACGCTTCCTTCTCGAGTCCTTCATAATTAAACAGAGCCTAATGGCTTGTTGCGTAAAGGCATCATCACCCCTTGAGTCTTCTACGAAGCCTCAAACCACTTACCTGAACTATGACATAAACCATCATTAAAGGAGCTCGCAGGGTGCAGGATAATTGGAACAAACMGGCTCCTCTAACAATGTTTAACGCTATAACACGACTCTGCTGCTCAGCTTTAATGGGCTTCTCCACAGCAGGTTTTAGGCTGTGGAAAGTTAAATGTTTAAATGTATAAAGTCTGGCTCGGTGCTCGCTGTACGATCCACAGAGAGAAACTCTCTGACCTTTAAGCKCTGAGAATCGTGGAATTACAAAGGGATGATTTAGAGCAGAAGTAACACTTCTGGGAAGTTCATTAACCATCCTCTGCCTGAGTGCGCAGAGAGTAAATGGTGCAAGTGTTTCTCCTGTAGATATTTACTTTGGTTTTGTTTTTCTTTATAGTTAAGTGTTTTTATGTGTCACAGAAGTGAGCTGATCTATCTGAACCTCAGTCTGTACCTGCAGGGAGAAGGTGAGCTGCAGGTCGGTCTCCGTCAGTCCTGCTGAGGACAGAAGGATCTCATTGGAGCGCAGGATCCGCTTGGAGCCCTGGAGAGACAACGCAGAGAGGTGAAACAGACTGTGAACATAAAACACGCTTGGTGAAGAGCAGGAAAGTGAGAAGAGTTAACTGATGGTGTGTCCTGGCTAAGTCAAAGCAATGGACTCTTCATCAATCACACAGAGCAAGAGGAGCTAGGAAGGCTGGGAGGAAAGGAAGTAAAGAACTGGAGAAATATGGGACAATAAGACTGTGGAAGACGCATTAAAAGCAGTGTGTTTTACACTCCAGGTTTAATAAGACAGAAAAGAAGAAAATAAATAAAGACAAGTCAATAAGAAGAAAGTAGTTTCTTGCTAAATGTAACTTTTCGGCTTTATCTGCTGCCACAAAGTTCTCATCAGGGTTCCCACACCTTGGTCAACATCAAATTCAAGGACCTTTCAAGGACTTTCCAATATCAATTTCCATGTGTGACAGCAATTATCTACTGCTACTGCAGAATGTTCTCAATAAACAGC